TGCTTGCTGCAGAAGACTAAACACTACAATCTTCATTACGGGTTGCATCTCAGCATCAGGAAAACAAAGATCTTTACCACTGGGCAAATAGGCAACATCGTGATAGAAAGAGAAAAGATTGAAACTGCCAACAATTTCATCTTACTAGGACCCACCATCAATATTCTTGGTACCAGCAGTCAGGAGATCAGGAGACATATTGTATTGTGCAAATTCACTGTCAGGGACCTCTCCAAATTACTGAGAAGCAATGATGTTAGTTTGAAGAGTAAGGTATGCTAGTTTGAGTCATAGTTTTTTCAATCATTTATTGTGCATCTAATTTACTTGGACCAGGAAGCAGTCCTCAGAACAGAGCAGGGAAACACTGCATGGTTCAAAATCAGGAAGTATGCACATCAGGGATGTGTCCTGTCTCTGTACCTTTTCAATCTATATGCAGAACAGATCATTCAGGAGGCTAGGCTTTATGAGGGGGGAATGTGGCATCAGGATTGGAGGAAGATTAATCAGTAATCTACATTATGCAGATGACACAACCTTGCTTGCTGAAACTGAGGCAGACCTGAAGTGTTTGCTACAGAAGGTCAAGGACTGTAGTCTTCAATATGCATTGAAGATCAACATCAAGAAAACAAAAATTCTCACCACTGAGCCAACTGGCAGGACCATGCTAGGCGGAGAAGAGATTGAGGTTGTTAACAATTACAGCTTGCTCGTTTCCACAATCAGCACTCTTAGCACCAGCAGTCAGAAAATCAAAAGACAAATTGCATTAGGTAAATATACTGTCAGGAACCTCAGCAGAGTATTGAAAAGCAAAGATGTCAATCTAGAGACCAAGATGTGCCTGATACAGGCTATGGTCTTTGCAGTTACTTGCTATGCATCAGAGAACTGGACAATGACTAAGGATGACAGAAGAATCAATGCCTTTGAACGGTGGTGCTGAAGAAGAGTCTTGAATCTACCATGGCCTGCCAAGAAAGCAAATAGGTCTGTCTTAGAGAGAGTGAAACCAAGTTTCTCCTTGGAGGCTAGGATTTTGAAGCTCTATCTCAGATACTTTGGGCATGTGGTCAAGAGGGACCAATCCTTAGAGAAGAACATCATGCTCAGAGGAGTGGAACAACAGCACAGGAGAGGAAGACTGGATGAAATGGATTGATACAGTAACTAGGGCAATGGGGGTAGGTGTGTCAGAGTCAGTGAGACTGGCTCATGACAGAACAGGCTTCAGAGATGTTGTTCATAGGGTCACTATGAGTTGCAGTTGACTCAATAGCAGATAACAATAACATGCATCTGATAGTTGGACAGTGAACAAGCATGACAGAAAAAGAATTGGCACTTTTTGTTGTAGTATTGGAGAAGAGTAATGAATATCTCCTGGACTGCCAAGAGAACAAGCAAATATGTCTTGGAAAAGTGTGGCCAGTGTGCTTCTTGGAAGCAAAGATAGATGGTGAGGCTTTGTCTTACATACTTACAGCATTTTGCTAGGAGAGGCTATTCCTTTGAAAGAGACATCATGCTTGGGAAGGCGGAGGGTCAACGAAAGAGAGGAAGATCCTCAATGAGATAGACTGACATAATGACTGTGGCAATAGGCTCAAGTATGCCAAAATATGTCCATGAGAATACTAAAGGATAGGTCAGAGTTCAAGTCTGTTGTTCCAAGGGTAACTACTAGCTGTAGTCAACTTGATGGCACATAACAACAACATATTTCACTTCACCTGACATTTTCAAGATTCGTTGAGTTATGACATGCACCAACACTATACTTCTTTTTGTATCTGAGTAGTATTCAATTGTATGTATGTGCCACATCTTGTATGTATCCATTCATCTATTACTGAGGAGGACCTGAAGTATTTGGTGCAGAATGTCAAGGACTGTAGTCTTCAAGAAACGGATTGAAGCTGAACATCAAGAAAACAAAGATTCTTAGCACTGGGCCAGTATGCAGAATCATGATAGTTGGAGAAGAGATTGAGATTGTTAACAATTTTAGCTTTGTTCTATAATCAACACTTTTGAGAGAGCACTGTTGGTCTAGTTGTAAGTTCTGCTGCAATCCCAAAGGCATTCAGCTCTGCCAAAGGCCAGCTGCTCTGCAGGAGAAAAATAAGCAATCTCTTCCTAAGTGATTAACCGCCTCTGAATACCCAATGGAGGGTAAGCTACGAGTTGGTTCTGGCTCAATGGCACACAACAGCAAGAGCAACAACAAAGAAGTCCTTGCTCATGCAGTATGTTATCACAGACGTGATTATAACACTCTTGGCACCAGCAGTCAGGAAATCAAAAGACAAATTGTTTGGGGAAAATCTGTTGTTACAGACCGCTCTAGAATACTAAAGAACAATAATGTCAGTCTAAGAGGGTAAGGTGTGCCTGATCCAGTCCATTATCTTCAAAATTACTTGCTATGCATCAGAAAGCTGGACAGTGGCCAAGGATGACAGAAGACAAACCTATACCTTTGAGTTGTGGTGCTGGAGAAGAGTATTTAACATACCATGCACTGCCAAGAAAACAAACAGGTCTGTCCTACAGAGGGTGAAACTAAGCTGCTCCTTGGAGGCAAAGATTTTTTTTT